ATTATTTTTATTTTATGTGTATGAGTGTTATGCCTGCATGTAGGTAAATGAGCCTGTGTCAAGCAATGCCCTCAGAGGACAGAAGAGACTGTCAGATCCCCTGGAACTAGAGTTACAGACAGTTGTTAGCTGCCATGTGGGTGCTGGGATTTGAACCCGGGTCTTCTACAAGAACAGTGTTCTTAACCACTGAGCCCCTCTTATATCTGCAGCCACCTTTCTAACTCCACACCAAATTTCTCTCTCTCTCTCTATATATATATATATATATACACACATACACACACATTCATACATATATACACATACCCTTTTTAAAAAGTAAGTCTTGCTATATACTCAAGAATCCTCCTGCCTCAATCACAGCTGAGGTATGTGCCACCACATCTGACTTCTCTACAATTTTTTTACAAGTCACTGTTATTTCAGGCTTTTAACTGTGGCATAAATGAACTCTACTATTCCAAGGCACCCCCAAAATTAACATGTATAAATGGGGAATTCTGAAAGGTCATGGATGCTGTTCTGTCATGGGATGAAATGGGTACCACTAAATTTCACATGTCATCTCTCGAAGTATGTCTGAATGTGACTCTTGAAGACAGGGTCTCCATCCATGAAGCAGTTCAGTTAAAATGAAGTCATTAGGTTGAGGCTTATTTGTTGTAAATGGTGCACACGGGAGCTGGAGAGATGGCTTGGTGGTTAAGAACTTGTTCTTCCAGAGGACCCAGGTTTGATTCTCAGCACCCAGTCACATATACAGAGAAAAGACTAGGAGAAGAGGCAGAGGTGACTGGGGGAGGGGCCTCAGGATACATCAACCTTTTGACTCATTCACTGCAGACTTCTAGCACCAGAATCCTGAGAAAAGAAACACCTGTTGCTTAAGCAACGCAGGCAGTGGTATGAGGTAACAGCACCCCTAACTAGCAAGAATCTGCACCACACTGTGAGATAGTTTATCACTGAGGAAAGGGAATGGGGATAGAGACCAGTTGGTAGAGTGCTTGCCTAGCATGCAGGAATCTGTGGGCTTCACCCCCAGCACCCCATAAACTAGGCATGATAGTGCATGCTTATGCCAGTACACAGGAGGACCAGAAGCTGAAGGTCATTCTCTGCTCCATAATGAGTTCAAGGCTAGATGGGGCTCTATGAGACACTGTCTCAAAAACAAAAACAGGAAAGAAGAGCCCAAAGAGGTGGTGGGGCTGTTGCAAGCTTTTCCTGGGAACCTAACGACCTCACCACAGGCATTTGGATGGACACTTTCACAAGTTATCATGAGGGAGTTAAGGAGGTATCAGCCCATTTTGCAGATGGAAAATTTCATTCTAAAGCTATCCAATGTTTGGTCCAGTCTCTCAGATAGAGAGTAGCATAGCTGGATTAGAAATCAGATCTGTGAGCCCCAGCCTGGCACCTCTCTCCTTTCCCAGACACCCACAGAGGCAACTCTTCAGTGAAAACAGACTGTCCACAGAGTAGGTGAATTTTATCCTAATTACTATGGCAGTCACTGGACTTATAGAGCATGTCTTTATATAAAGCATGTATAAGGACAGCTCTTCACAGACTATGTAACCCTTATAGAGACCAATGCCTTTGTTTACAGAAAGGGACACTTAAGTTCAGAGTGACAACCTCATTTGGACAGTGCTAGGGACTGAACACAGGGCCTCGCACACACCCTGCAAACACTCCACAACTGAGCTACAGTCTCAGCAAAAGGGTGCAAAACAAGGAGGCCTTGAATTCGAGATCTTCCTTCCTCCTCAAGTTCAGCATGTACCTAGCACTACATCATCCCAGCTGACCGCTCCAGCCATACTCCAACTCCGGCTTTGCTCAGTCATCCGTATCACCACCCCTAGCTTCAGCATAATGAGATGGCAAGAAACTTCCCTCAGGTACTCACCCATAACCTCTAGCCTGGTCTTCCCTTCTGCCTTTTCAGGGGTGACCACCAACTTGCACCGGTATTCTCCTGCCTCCCACAGCTGGACCCCAGGCAGCTGGAGTGAGGCGTCGCCCCTCTCCAGTCCCAACCTTGACACCATGGCTCCAGGTCGTAACGCCTTTAGGTGATTTCCATAAAGCTCAAACACTGTGACCTCAGATTCATTCTTCTGAAACCAGACGATTCCCATAGTCTCGGTGTCCAGGTGTGGGGAACCAGGGACTTTGCAGGGTATGATGACGTTGTCATTCCGGGATACCAGCTGTGTCCCCTCTGCCATCTCCACTTCCAGAGCACCTGCGGCATTAACAGAGCTCAGTTACGGGAGGCTCTTGGTACTCAGTCACTACTGTGTCATAAATAGCCCTTGGGCTGGGAGAAGATCAGGAAGGAGGCTCTAACTTTACAGTCCCCGGTTAACCCACATAGATTTCCCCCATGTTATTTTTCCTTTTCATGATTGTGTTGGCTGTTAGAGGGCTCCCACAACTAACTCAATATGCATTTTAGAACCAGCTTATCAATTTCTACATAGAAGTCAGGCTGAGAGATTCAGACAGAAAATATATTGATGCCTATAGATCAATTGGGGAATGTTGCCATCTTAAGAATGTTACATTGTCAATTTATTAACATGTTACATAGATGTGCTGTTGACCAAATGTCTGGACCCTCCCCAAATTTTTATGCTGAGGCCAAACTCCCACTGATACAGCATTTGGAAGTAGGGGCTTTGGGAGATGATGACGTCATGAGGTGGCAACCCTCTGAACTGATTAGAGCCTGTGTATGAGAAGAGAGACCTCTCCTATTCTGCTATGAAGACATAGTAAAGTTATCCTACAAGCTTAACCAGCCCCTTCATCTTAGACTCCCAAGTTGGAGAACTGAGGCCATTTGAATATCACCGGGTAGCAAAGACAGTTTCACCAGGCCTCAGTAAAGACTTTACTAAAGATGCCTGGGTGAGATGAGCTGTAGTTTTTCCTCCTCCAATTCTCCCAGCCCCTCAGTACCAGCATCATGGGTGAAAGGGCATCAACAGGAACACAGTCAAGGCATACTGCACATACAGGCCTTGAATGTTTATCTGTGGAATCGGTCGGCAAATCTGTACATTGCAGAAAGGTGCCCGTAGTCGAGGCCCTGCAAAGTTTGGCATGTGGTGACCATAAAAGGTGGGGCCCACGGGAGCCCAGCAGGGATGGCTGGCACCACTGTAGCCTTCCTTTTCTTCCCCACCCGTCCACATCCTACCTGTAGTGGGCATGGACCAGAGCAGCAGCAGCAGCAGTCGTACCAGGTTCCAGGCCATGAAGCCAGCCTGCCCCTCTGCCATCCATGCTGAGTTCACAGTACTGGTTTGAACCGGATCACCCTGCCCTCCCAGTTTTGTGGCTGGGCCTAGGCTACAGCCAATGAGCTGGGGAAGCTCTACCATACAAAAAAGAAACAGAGCAACATGCCCCGCCCTGGTGTATTTGTACTTTCTCTGACAGCTCTGCAAAGTCTCATCTTGGACATCTGGACATGCAATTCTACATGGCATCGTGGAGCTTCCTGTACACGTGGTGGGCCTCAGGCGCACCTGTGTGCTGAAAGAAAGCAGGGTCAGGATGAGTCAGTGAAGCCAAGTCAGCGAGTTTCTGAAGCAGGAGAATCAGAAGCACTTGAAGAGAGTAAGTGCCCAGGTTCGCCCAAGTGTCTCAGGGCTCGCTATGTGTAACCGAGGTTTAGACATTAGAAAAATATGGGATGCTATACTCCTCTTTCTTATCCAAAACATTCTATCCTTGAAGAGGAGATAACATTTTTAAGTCCATTGGACAGGCTTGTAGCTGCAGAAGTGAATGTCTCTAGAGATAAAATCGGGATGGATGAAATCCTTACACACAGGTCACAAGAACACTGGACTGAAGGCTTAGCCCAGTATCATTTTTAACAATCTTGTTTATGGTGTTTTACAGAAAGAGAAGGACTGTCCTGCCTCAGTCTTGGTTCCTTTCTTTACAAAGGAGGAGTCTGGGGACTTGGAACATGTGACCACCTGGGCCTCAACTCCTCTAGAAGTATGCCAGGCTCGATGGCCTCGACCAGCTGCCCTAGTTTCATAGCCCTACACACTGGGGTCTGGGCTCCTGCAGCCTCAGCACATCCAGATTTGGTGGACTTGAGATTCAGGTCTTCCTCGATAAACTGGGGGAGGGGTGGGGTCTAAGGAAGAGGGTGACTAGAGTTAGCAAATGCAAGCTCATGGCCATGTGCTCCCACCACACTTCTTGACACTGAGTGATAAAAAAGTAACAAATGTACTTTGATTTGAAAAAACCTTTTGGGCTAGGGCTCTAGCTCAGTTGGTAGAGTGCTTACCTAGCACTCCAGAAACTAGGCATGGTGGTATGCTGTAATCTGTCACTTGAGAGGCTGAGAAAGCTTACTTCAAGTTTGAGACAAAACATAGTTGAGGAGAGTGTGGGACTCAAAAAACCAACAAAGAAAAATGAAAATAAAACTAACCACAAAGTGGTCTGTGGCCTCACGAAGCAAACTCTTGATTAGGTTTACTTGGTGATTAAGTTTTAAGATGTCTGTGGTGTTACTACACCAATATTTCAATTTCCTGAACAGAAAAGCCTGACTCACATTTAATTTATAAGAGCATGCCAGAACTCGGAGGCCACTGGTTCCCCTAGAGATCTCTTGGAACCATCTGTCTCCTGGAACTGTGCTGATGGAACTGTCTCTGGAAATATGTTTCTGTAATTGTGTCTCCAAGTTCCACCCATAATTTTATTCAAAATGGTTTCTCCAGCTTCAGTTGCATGTATGTAAGTACACCAGGTATGTGCAATGCCCATGGAGGCCAGAAGAGGGCATCAGATCCCCTGGTACCAGAGTTACTGCTGGTAGCTGCCATAGGGGTGCTGGGAATTGAACCTGGATCTTCAGCAAGAGCAACCAGTGCTCTTAGCCACTGAACCATATCTCCAGCCACCAACCTCGGGCTTCCGATCTTCCTCATCTACGTCCACAGTTGCTTCTAGAACTGCAGGTGTGTGCCACCAGCCTGGTTTGTGTAATGTTGGGGATTCCAGATTTAAAAAAACAAAAGAGACATAGCCTTGAGTAAATTCTGGATTATGGAGAAAGCATTACTACTAAAAGACAATACCGACGTAAATAATGAAATTTGAGTATGGTATCTGTATTAACACTGGCACTTTGGGGGGGTATCTTTTTGAGGGAGGTTCTCTCTCTAGCCCCAGCTGGTCTGGAATGCACCACGTAGACCATGCTGGCCAAGAGATCCACCTGCTTCTGCTGGGATTAAAGGTGTACACCGCCATGTCCAGCAACACTGGCACTTTTAAAAAGCACATGCTATTTGTTTATACGGTTGTTTTCAGTTTGCGTCTCTCTACACCAGTGTTTCTCAGAGTGTGTTCTGTGAATTGTGCTAACCTGTTTATGGCCACTATCCAAAAGCTTCAATGGAAACTACATGCCTGGCTCCATCCTTATCTTAACAGACCATCTGATCTTTTCATCCCTAGTTCTAGAGTATCTCATTCATCCAAGGTCCCTGGTCCTCCACTGTGTGCAAAGGAGATGGCTGTGCAAGAGCAGCCTGTGCTCTTAACCACTAAGCCATCTTTCTGGCCCCCAAAGCTATTTTTATACTAATTGAAAGGCAAGTTGTTAGATCTTGTCAGTAAATCTGGGTAAGACTCATCTGAATGCATTCTGCTCTTGCAGAGAACCCAGGCTCGAATCCCAGTACCCACAAGTGGCTAACAACTGTCTGTAACTCCAGTTCCACAGGATCCAATGCCCTCTCTGGACCTCCATGGGCACTGAACCACTTGAGTACACTTACACACAAGCAGGCAATACACTCATACACATAAAATAAAAATAATAAAAATCTTAAAACAATAGCTTTCCTGGTAGATGGGATATAGTCAGTTAGTAGATGCTTATGTAGATGCTTCCACACCCAGCATTACATAAACCTGCTGTGGAGGTGTGTGCCTGTATTCCCAGCACTGGGGAGGTGGAGGCAGGAGAATGAGAAAGAAGTTCAAGGTCATCTTTGGCCCCAAACTAAGTTCCAGGCCAGCATCTAAATAAATAAATAAATAAATAAATAAATAAATAAATAAATGTGTGTTCCTCCTGGCCTCAGGATTCTTTCTCCAGGAATTCATTCACTGCAACCTGTGCAAACTTTTAAATCTTCCTTTTCTTTCTTTTTCTTTCCACTTATTTATTTTTAAACAGTCTCAAAGTGCCCAGGATGGCCTTAAACTCCGGATGCATTTGCAGGCACGCGCTACCACACCTAGCTTTAAATCTTCCTTTTCTATCTGTTTGGTCTTTGGTAAATCCTTTCATCTGCAGAGCACGAGCACTGCCATTCATGCCCCCCCCGGGGGGGGGATAAAAATAAATAACGTTTAAAAGTTAAAAGCAACCCCTCATCATGTAGAACTTTTAGAGTGTTTCCTCGAGAGAAGAAAAAAACGCCGCCACGCCTGGAATGAATTTTCTTCCTGGCGTGGATGGGGATTCCTCCTCGGAATCCTCTAAAGGTAGGAAATTGTGTGCTTTTCCGTCACTTATCCGCACTTCCCGAACTTGCTTGCCCGGTGTCCTACAGATCTAGAAATTATTCGGTGCAGACAGGACTCCAGAGGTTAAATCCCAGGGCTGGGGACTGAGGTGAGCTGCACAGGCAGAGAGGCCAGCGCTGACGCAACTGCCCTTGAGCAACTGGTGGCTCCACCCCCCACCCCACCCCTGGCAGAAAAGAGTTGTGCACCTGCTGACTCAGAGGCGGCCTGAGGTCAGCAGAACCCTGCTTCCTGGGCAGGCACTGGCTGCTGCATCCTCCAGCCTCGGCCTCCCTCACATCTCTGCCCCACCGCATCAATGACACCTGTCATTGAAAGTGGGCCCACCCACCATCCAGGGTGACCTCATCTTGAGATCATTTCATCACATTTGCAAAGACTCTTTATCACATGAGCTACATTCCCAGGTGCCACGTTTGTGGGGTCACCATCCCATCCATACAGGGCTTGTCTCCCCTGTGAGGGTGGCCCATGTCCCCACCTGTCTCCCCATGACTTACTGTGTTCTGCACACTGTCCCTCACTGGGGTCTGGAACACTTAGAGAACAGATGGCTGGATTCCTACCCTGTCTGCCTGCTCCCCCTCCAGTTCTCCCCTCCCCCCCCACCTTTTGTAACCTTCACCTAGCCCACCTTAACTAAGAACAAATGAATGAGTCTTCCTATAAAGACAACATTAACCAGGCATGTGCAAGGCCCTGGGTTGGATCACCAACACTGCCATAAAAAAATTAAAATTAAAATTAAAAAAGCTTTTTAATTTAAATACTGATGCACACCTTTAATTCTAGTACTCAGAAGGCAGAGGCAGGGGGACCTCTGTGAGATGGAGGCCAGCCTGGTCTACATTGTTTCCTACCGAAAACAATTGGGATTGGAAAGATGGCGCAGCAGTTAAGATCACTGTCTGCTCTTGCAGAGGACACAGGTTTGATTCCCAGTACCCCCATGGCAGTTAACAACCATCCATAATGCCACTTCCAGGGGAATTTATCAACCCTCTCTTCTGACCTCCACGCGCATTGTATGACATGGGTACACTTACATATATACAAACGATACACTCATATACACAAAAATAATAAAAAAAACCCAATACATATAACCTTTGTAAAATGTGACTAGAAATGCCTTAATTTTAATTTTGGAAAAAAATTCTTCAAGTCTGGAGGTTTGCTCTAATTCTTCCTGACTTATTTATATTTGAACCATTTTTAAAATTTCAAATCAGCTATTAGATTTCTTTTTTTTTTTTTTTCTTTTTCTTTTTTGTCTTTTTGAGACAGTGTCTCCCAGTCTCCGGGCCTGGAATTTGCTATGTAGATCAGGCTGACCTTGAACTCACAGAGATCCACCTGCCTCTGCCGCCCAAGTACGGGAATTAAAGGTGTGTGCCACCATATTAGATTTCTTTACTAATAAGGCCTTTACTAAACCCAGCCTTATTAGATTTCTTTACTTAGTTTTGGTAGGACTGAGAAGCAAATATAGGCCTCATGCATGCTGAACTCCATTACTGTGTGTAAAACCAAATTCTCTTCTGGGAGACCTGCTCTCAGCTCCCAGGCCCTCTGTGAGGCGCACTATGACCCCCCTCTTCGCCCCCCCCCCATGCTGTCCTTATGACCGACTGATAAAACCAACACAGTGTATTCAGGTTTTGTATAGAGTTTATGATGTCTGGAAGAGGCTTACTGACAAAGGCATGCACCCGTGGGCTTTTTTCCTTACATCTTGGCTGAGCTTCCTACATCCACGGCCGCTGGTGCCCTAGCCAAGATGGCAACTTTCCTGCCACCTCCCTGGCTTCCTCCGTGTCTGTCTTTAGACCCTTCCCCTCAAGCAATTAAAGCTGACCAATTGCATGGGATGGGTGGCTGTCTCCCTCCATTAGTATGGAGTCTCTTAGCATTCAGACATTTAGCTGTTGCTGGTTCTTTCAGAGGACATGCCTATCCAACACTGTGCTATAGCCTCAGCCCTGATGATTGGATTCTAATGTGATACAGATTCAAAGACACAGAAATTTCAACCAATACTTGTTACATTGTTATTGATTACATGAATACATAATAATTCTTCCAGTGTTGCATGTGCTTGAAAATATTGTTTTAATCCATGTTGGTATATGTAATGTTCATTTTTTTAACTTATTTATTTTTATTTTGTGTGTATGAGTGTTTTGCCTGTGTGTATGTAAGTGCACGTATACCTGTGGAGACCAGAAGAGGGAGTCAGATCTCCTGGTACTGGACTTACAGGTCAATTGTGAGCTGCCATGTGGGTGCTGGGAACCAAACCCAGGTCCCCCGGAAAAGCAGGAAGTGCTCTTAACCTCTGAGCCATCTCTCCAACCTCCATGTTCATTTCAAATTATACTAAAATGAGGAAATTGCATATTTGTTGTAATTTCCTTTTTTAAAAAATATTTTATTTATTATTTTTATTTCATGTATATGAGTGTATTTCCTGCATGTATTTGAGTGCACCCATGTCGTGTAATGCCTCGGAGGTCAGAAGAGGGCTTTGGATTCCCCTAGAAGTGGAGTTAAGAATGGTTCATAGCCATCGTGTGGGTGCTTGGAATCGAACCCAGGTCCTCTGCAAGAGCAATTAGTGCTCTTAACTGCTGAGCCATCTCTCCAGCTCCAGTAATTTCCTTTTTTAAAAAAGTTACATTTTGTGTGTGTGTGTGTGTGTGTGTGTGTGTTGCACGCACCATAATCCTCATGTAGAGGTTATAGGACAATGTGCAGGAGTTAGTTCTTTCCTTTCACAGTGTGGGTCCTGGGGATAGAAGTCGGATCTTCAGGCTTGGTGGCAAATGCCTTTCCCCAGCTATAACACTCCTGGGTATATACTCAATGGAATCTAAGTCATCAGACACCAATACATCTGTATACACATTTATTGCAGCACTAGTCACGATAGCTAAGTTACAGACTCACACTAGGTGCCCTTTGATGGAGACTGGATAAATAAAATATGGTGTGGAAACACAGTGGTGTATTACTGAGCCATAAAGAAGAATGATAATATGTCATTTAGTGGGAAATAGGCAACACTAAAGGTCAGTATGCTAATTAGGATAAGCCAAACTTAGAAGGACAACTATTGTATATTTCCTCTCATATGTAGAATCTAGATCTTTTTAAATTTTTTTTTTTTTTATGTGTATGAGTGTTTTACCTACAGGTTATGTAGTCCACGTGTGTGCAATGCCAGTGAAGGCCAGAAGAGGGAGTCAGATCCCATGGAGCTGGAGTGAAGGATGATTGTTAGTCACCATGTAGGTACTGGGAACTGAACCCAGGTCCTCTGCAAGAGCAGCCACCTTAACTGCTGAGCCCTCTCTCCAGCCCCGAATCAAGATCTTTTGAAAAAGACATGGAGATTGAAGAGGGATATTTGAGAAAAAGAAGGGACCAGATGGGATAATGAAACTCATCATTTCATGGAATAAATATTGCAAATAAGAAAAGGGGTGGAAGATCAAAAAAAGATAAAATAAATATTAAAGTTTTTCATTAAAGTCTCTTTTAAATTTTTTTAATTTTTAATTTATTTTATTTTAGTTTTTAAGTGTATGCACGTTTTGCCTGCATGTAGGTACATGCACCCATGTCACGCAATGCCCGTGGAGGACAGAAGAGTCTGTCAGATCCCCTGGAACTAGAGTTACGGACCGTTGTTAGCTGCCATGTGGGTGCTGGGATTCGAACCCAGTTCTTCTGCAAGAACAGCCAGTGTTCTTAACTGCTGAGCCATCTCTCCAGCCCCCATTAAAGTCTCTTTAATTAGCCTATTGAGGATACATGATAAAGTCTAGAGCCTAGTTTGTTAGGGCTGCCAGGACACACTCTCTGAGCCTAACAGCCCCCGCAAGCCATAGCCAAGAAGACATACATACTTGTCAGGAGTCAGACAGACAGACCCAGGAACAAATATACCATACACCACTCATCAAAGAAGTTTCTTTTTACAACAGACAGAGGCTACTATAGAGTTCCACAACTGGTCACACACAGAGAATATAAGTCTGAGAGATACTCAGCCCTAAGGGACACATCTACAATGGAACCTCTACACCTACACAGGGTGGAGAAAATACTAATACGTCCCTCAACCTCACCAGTGATGTTTCCTCATAC